AAAGCGTTGATTTCAATGGGTTTCGATAAGGAGGACGTTATGCCAGTGATTGTCAAATGCTGTTCAATAAGCGATGGTTTCGCCAAACTTATGAAGATTATACAAACCAAAGACGTTTAAGTATTGTCATTGTATTTACATTTTGTACACTTTTTATTTCTTAACTTTTATCATTTGTGCTATTTTATTATGTTTTTTACAAAGTAGTTTTTATTAACTTTTTTTACCTGTTTGTTACCAGTATTGACTATATTATGATTGATTTATACGATTTGTTAACATGTAATTTACGTGAAAAATTGCAATTATTATTATGTAAATAGTATTTCATAAAAAATTGAATAAATTCTGTAATTTGAATCTTAAAACAATGAAATCATCAAAAATATTAACGATTGAATACTTCCTGAAGAATAGGACCGACATGTGTTGGCCGGTGTACGTAGTAATTAGTTGCGTGAATATCACTTAATAACCGTATTTTATGCAAACTATCCATTAGTCTCAATAGTCTTACTTTGGCTTCACTTTCCGATTGATATCTCATATAAAAATAACGTTTAAGTAAATGCATGTAAATGTATTGTTGGAGTCTATAATAAATTATGAATAAATTATTAATTAACCATATGTTATAATCAGATTTAACAAGTTATATTCATAACACTTACTTAATAAGTTCCGGCTGTTGAATGTTAGGCCGCTCTGAGTTAAATATAATTATAGCCGATAACTAAGTTAGAAATAAACATTATTACTATGTATTAGCACATGATCAAATACACGCATAATAGCTAGATCATTTACCAAATGAAGTACAATGTGGTCTCCATTCCACTCCATAGATATTGTCTGTATATATGACTTGTAGTGATTAAAGGCGTCCAATTGATAACTGGCCAACACTTGTAATTTCATTTGCAAACTATTGTCTTCGTCCTACACAGAGATAAGCAAACAAACAGTTAATTTAATCATTAATATCATATTCATATAGCTTTTAAATTATTACATTTTCCAAAGCGATATATTCCTCCTCAACGTTATAGACTTGGGTGAGTCGGAGTAGAAACAACTCGATAGAGCCGTACTTAATAAGCAAATGCTGGTCGCTTTCGGTCAACGACTTAAAGCCATGTATTTTCTTCAACGCATTCACAAACTTATTTATATTTCGCTCAAACATTGCCGACCAACCAATACAGGCCTCCATTACGTCCGTCACTTCTCGCATGATTTTAGGCACTTTCGACGGCACCGACA